AAAATTATTAAAACCTTATTTTTAAGGAATAAGCATTCAATATTTCTTCAATGTTTTAATTGTAATATTAAATGACCTTTATTTTCCAAAAAATTACATTTAATTTTCATTACTTAAGATAGATTAAATGAATGTTTTATGTCTTAAAACAAAATGTAAATACACAACACAGAATTTCTGAGCAAAAAATTCATAAATTGATGTTAAATTGTTTAAGTTTCATGATTTTAATTAATTCGACATGCTTTTTGATTAATAAAATGTGATTTAACCATTAAAAAGAAAACGGAATCTACCCCCCCCAAAGCCGTAAACCTAGGGGAAACACTGGATGCCATAATCACACTCTGTCTCTCTCCCGTCACGCTTTTAGAGCCGGTCACACTGAAGGGCGTTCCCAAAGCGTCCTCCGACGCAGCTCGAGTTCCTGAAGAGGAACTTGGTTTATTTAATTGTGTATCTTTGTTTTATTGTGTTTGTCCTATTGTTTTTTTGTTTCTTTGTTCTTATTTTAATTACAAAAATTAAATAAAATAACATTAACTATATTAAGATTTATATCGTTATTGTGAAATAAAATATCCCATAACAAGAAATAAGGTCATAATTGTTATATTGACTCTAAAGCAAATACTGAGCCAACCAATACTTTAGGTCTAATGCCAGGGTTGGGCAGATATTAAGTGTTTGTAAAATTAATTTATAAATAAGTATTATTATAATTTCAGTCATTTTAACCTTTAAAAAATTTTTTTTACCATATCTTGCCACTGGATAGTTGTATGTCATTTCAGGTGATTAGTACAAAGCCATTAGACATTGATCTCTACCTTTTTAGAGAGCAGCGGTTTATTGAGGTCTTGTATTGGCCTTTTCAGAAGTTCAACAGCACTTGATATGGAACAAACATTAGTGCATCTGAACTAAAGCCAGTAGCTGTTTATAGAAACACCAAAACTAGAGTCTGGTTGCAAGTGTATGTGAGAGAAGGACATACCCAATACAGAAACAACAACATACAGTTTCCAAATAACTGGGCAAGATCAGACAAGATGTTTGGTGTCTAGTCACTTACATCATCTTAGCTGAAAAACTACACAGCGAGTAAAGAAAAGAGGTTCATTCATAAGTAAACAAGCAACCCAATAATAAGGTTGGTGACATCACACCAGACAAATTGTTGCTTCACAGGCAGAACTGTTTCAATGAAATACTACAAACTTTTATTCTCTCAAAATAACATGCAACGATCCTCACAATTAATTCACAATAAGACTTGTACTAGAAATGTATATAGCAGCAGTTTTGATTTCATGTTGACTTTAAAAATTGTGCAAAACCCAGAATTGTGGGACCAAAGAAGAAGTGGAAGATGCACTTTATCTACCTAAAAATGGAATAAAAATTATGACATCCACAAGCTTTCTATAATAGCTGTGCTCAATAATGCACTGGTCTGAAAGAGGGATGCAATTTAGTTTCAGACCCTCTGAGGGCTTAAACTGGAACTCAGCACTTATGTGCCATGGGAAAAGCCCACAATAGCTCAGAACACATAAATGAGGTCAAAACAGCTACACAACCTCTCTGACGCTGTAAACCGGGACAGTGGTCTACAGTAGTGCGCTCTTATGAGGTGACTGTTTGACAGCCACATTGTCTAAACTATGAGAAAGACAGAAAGGGAGCAATAGATGTGTGCGCGTTAGTCCCCCTTCTTTATAATGGACTCCTTTGTCTTAGAGAGGTTTAAACAAAGAGAGCACTGGCTGCAGGGAGTTTCAGAGCCACTGTATTTTTTGAATGAGAACTACTCACCCAAATCTGAGTGGAAGAGAGTAACACAATCAGAGCTTTTATTCAGCTTCACTTCCTTTCCCTCCCTTGCCATCCTCTCCTATCTGCATTCTCACGTTTCTATTGATTTTGATCTTACAAGTATAGCATTGTCTTCCAGCAATTTATCCTTGTCTCCTGCTCAGAGGGCCTGGCCTTCCTCACACCCATGCTATCATTACACCAGGTCCCATGACATGCTGCTTTTTAGATGCTTTTATATAGGCCTAAGTGGTCCCTAGTACTGTATCCGAAGTCTCTTTCCCGAAATTCAGCCTTGGTGCAGAATTTCAGCCACTACGAGCCAGTCCCACAATGAGCTTTCCTTAGGATGTGCCATTTCTGTGTCTGTAGCTTTAAATGCTAATGAGGAGGAGAGAGGCGGGGCAACTGCCATGCTTCGCTCATTTGCAAGCCATGATGTCTCTCGAGGAAAAAAAAAAAATACTGCGCTCGCCTCGCACGGTAGTAGCTCATTTTCTCATGGGCGGGCCAAATTCTCTGGGCGGGCAAAGCAGAGAAAGGGGAGGTAACCTTTCCCCGTATGACGACATAAAGGGAAGATTCCAGATTGGGCCATCTGAGCTTTCATTTTCTCAAAGGCGAAGCAGGATACCCAGGGCTCGGTTTACACCTATCGCCATTTCTAGGCACTGGGGGACCGTAGGCCGGCTAGGGGAACTCATATTAATGTTGAAAAACCTCATAAAATGACATTTTCATGCCATGGGACCTTTAAAGCATTTGTGCTGCTTGTCACCTTTTATTACGAGATGATTGCAATGCAACAAAATTTGGCTTATTAAATCAGATAAACTCATTTAGGATTAATTAACCAATTAATCAAATAAACCAATCTGCTTTAGATCCACTGACATTGAAGTAGCAAGCTAACGTGAAATTCCCAATCACGTGGACTCCTAATGAAATGACTGGATTGCGCCTGTGAAAATTCAAATGAACAATGGTAAATGTGAACATACCTTAATGCTGAAAAATCTCACATTTTACACAGTCATTATCAAAGATTAGTGGTCGACCAATATTGGTTTTTTGACAGCCGATGCCGATATCTTGGAAAGTCATGTGGCCGATGGCCCATATAATTATTTATTTCAATTAATAATTAAGAAATTTGAAATCATTTGAAAATTGGTTAAAAATAAATGTGTTAAATAAACATACTTATACTTTAGATGACAAAGTATTTTTCACAAATAAATAAATATTTAATAAAAATATAATTAAAAAGGAAGTAAACACTGTAACCAACAGGGCACTCAGTATTCTGGGAAATTTGTGTGCATTAATCATTTTTTCAAATAAAAATAAGGTAACACTCATTTTACATACAGCACACAGTGAAAATGACATGACTATGACAGTGGACAAATGCATAAAGCGCAGCATAATTTAAAATAACGAGTTTAAATGTTTGTCAATCACGCATCTCCAGTGAAGCTGAACTCTACTCCTGTCAGCATTCAATTCGCACAGACCGACCGTCACACAGAGAACATGCAATAATGCAGGATACACATGCACACGTCACAAGATCTCACAACTGGTTCCGACTAAGTTTGCAAGGTTTTTGAAATTAGATGTTTAGTAGACATTCAAAGATTTGTTTAAATGGCATAAATGCGTATTTGCTGAATGCTGACGGCAAACAAGAAAGTATTATAATGTTTGCCTTTCTATTACTAATAGGGCTATGCCGGTGTCAAATTTTCATGTTGCGATTAATTGCTAATGCTTTTATCACGGTATGCGGTATTATCACGGTATTGAAATTTAGTTTTCAAAAAACATGCTGTCATAATACAGTATAACATGTTTAATAACTTTTTTCTTATAACAAATATAAGTGAACATTTAAATGCTATAAAAGCAATACAGAAAAATGTATAAAGTTAAAAGTTTTACACCGATTAAAGTGCAAAAGAACTATAAAGACCAATAGGTATCACTTTACAATAAGACCTCATTAGTTAACCTTAGTTAATGCATTAACATTCACAATGAGCAATAGCTACATTTGCTACAGAAGTTATTAATCTTCGTTTAAAAAAAAACAAAGTCTTAGTTCATGTTAGCTCATTAAATAACACTGTTGCAACTTTCGATTTTAACAACCTGTTATTAAATATTGGAATACCTAAGATTAATGAATGTTCAGAAGAATTTTTCATTGGCAGTTTATGTTAACTAATGAATTAACAAATGTTAACTAATGAAGCCCTAATGTAAAGTGTGACTTTCAAACAATATCTAGGGCATGTTGTAGTCCAGATTAAAATGTAAAAAAAGTTTGAAAATAGCCTATTAAGTCTAAATATTTAAGTATTTGGCGCGGTGATGAACATCATAGCAAATACACAAATCTGAATGGCTGTTTAAATCATTTAAACACGATTCGGATCAGGAACGCATCAGCCAAACAGGAAAACTTATCGGCCGATGCCGATATTTAAAAAATGCCAAATATCGGCCAATATACCGGCCTTGGCGATATATCGGTCGACCACTACCAAAGATGTAAATTACACGTGGAAATGCAAGAAATCAGT